TAAACGAATCGTCATTTTATTCCGTGATAATGTCCTCTACAATACATTATAAATACTGTTTTTAATAGGAAACAAAACTCTTTCTTCAGGCAGTTTTTTAGAGCTCACTTTCATACATGAGCAGCAGATTAATGAACTTTTAGGAGTAACTCGATCGCTAACAATAAAACGTCTAGTATTGCACAGGTCACATCGGGACAGGCCCACATTATTTTCTGAAACGAGCTTAATAATCGGGTTTCCTTCTCGGTGCAACTATTAAAGGCATTAATTTGGTCATCCACAGACAATCGGTAAGCGGAGTTAGAGGGTAATGTTTTGTACCACATCCCCATGCCTAACTAGTTAGAAAATGACATTATTAAGTCGCATATTCACTTGTCGATGTATTCCCGAAACCAGAGTTAATATAATGAACTACTTTAGATTGTGTTCTTCTGGTGAACGTTGTTTAACTCAGCATGGTTGATGCGCGAGATGAAGGCACCGACTTGGACCCTCCAGATGTTCCCTGGCCCGTGGAAGGTGATCCCATGCTCAGGTACAGATTGTACCTCAGCGTCGTCTGTATCTCAGGGGAGATCTGGACGCGCTCCTCGGGGGAATTCTTGCTCCGCAGCCGCCTCTTCTTCACCTCTCCGTGGACGGTTGTCATCAAGTCTAAGAGGTTCAGCTTTCTGGCAAACGTCTCAAGCATATCAAAGAGTACACCAACGTAGAAATGGTAGACGCTTGGGAGGGAATCACTTGTGGCTTCCTTAGGGATAAGAGCAAATGTCAGCAAGAAGTCATAGTCGTTAGGGATTAGTGTAGGGGTTGTGGGGATGGTGGTGTCCTTACTGACGTGCACTCTTGGAGAGAGTTTAGCCTTGACGTTACCCTCAAGAATCTGGAGGAAGAATAGCTTAGGTTTGTCGGCTAAGGTCGGGCAGTTGGTCCGGGAGAAGATGTCAGTCAGTTGTTGGACCTCCACAGCGATGCCGTCTGGGCCGATGATCTTCCCTCCCCTGGCTCCGCGAGAGAGGATGCAGACGATGACGCAGTCGAAGTAGGAGTGATCCTCGAGGCTCAAGAAGCGGAGAGCTGAGATGATGTCCAGGGACATCAGACCCCTCATGATGCGGACGTTGAATCCCAACTTGATGAGAACACTTCGTAATCTGTCTGTTGGATGATGGAGACATTGAAAATTAGTGTCTGTCTTCAAGTAATAACTGTACTTCAAAGCCATTATGCTATAGGGATCTGACCTCTAAAATGAACTCGAGCATTTTTATTTAAAAGCCAATGCATAACAATCTATGAATTTCAATTAACCAAAACATAACAGAAGTAAAAACAAGTCATCCATCCTCATGAAAAAAAAGTTTGCCGGTGTAGCGTGAATATCCGACTCCATGAAATGTGGAGTCGTTGGTAGTATTGCGTATGCGTAAGTAATATGATAAGATATTGACTGGTCACGTCACATGAGAGGGGTTAACCAATAGTCCGATTTTCACAGGAGTCGGATTTTCATATTACACCGGTTTCAGAGTATTTGGGGTTTTGACAATTTTACAAAGAAAACAATGTGTGAGAGACTTGATGAACTGATGCCCAGAATTATATCTGTATGCGCACCCATCATACAAAGTAATTTACGAGACAATCGTATCCCTACCAGTGTTGTCTTGTTCTTTAGCGTCCTCTCGTCCATCACTTGATGACTGACTCGATGCTCTTCCATTCAAACTCTCCTCAGCTTCCAAGGTGCAAAAATTATCAATAATGACAGCCACACCTCTAGGTCTAGTCCTCATGAGGTAACACGGCCTCTCGCGGCCTCCGTCAAGGCCTGCCTCTGTCCTGAAATGCACCATTCTCCTTTTCTCGGCTTTCTTGATAATTTGGTCTTGATGCTCACCAAGTCCTTGGATACCCTTCTGGCATGCTTCTGTGAGTTGCTGGATCAGTGGACATTCTTGCCACTCAAATATCTTAAGGTTAGAGAGTTTGCTAGCCAGGAAGACCGGGAGACAGCGCAGAGGATTGTTCTTCAACTGCAGGTCTTCAAGACATGTTAGCTCGCACAGCGCATGAGGCAGCCATTCCAGACGATTGTCATTAATCCAGAGAAGCTTCAAGCTCTTCATGGAGGCGATCTGGTTCGGCAGGCTGGTGATCTGATTATTGTCCAGGAAGAGCTTCTCCAGACAAGCCAAGGATCCGCTGCACAACACTGTGGGGAACTCTGCAAAGCGGTTATCCGAGAGATCGATCCATCTCAGATGGGTCAAGTTCACGATGGCTCTAGGAAGCTCTGTCAACGAGTTGCAGCTGAAGTAGAGCCTGACCAACTCGGTCAACTTGCAGACAACCTCTGGACACTTCTGAAAGGAGTTGTTCTCGAGATACAGCCACTTTAGCCGACCCAGCATGGCCATCTCGGCCGGGAGATCCTTCAGCTTGTTGACGTTCAGGTTCAGCCATTGGAGCTCTCCCAGACTGAAGAGGTCTGTTGGGAGTTGTTGGAGGTTTCGATAGTTGAGATCGACGCGGAGGTCGTATGCGTTGCCTCGGTAAGGGGAGATACCGAGTGCCTGAAGGGACCAGTCTGTACCTGCCATCACTGCTTCGCTCTCATCCAATCATGTATAACTGACTGCATACATTGTATCGTTGTACAGCACAACACTCTGTGAACACAACAGAGTAAACTTGTAAATTGTCTGATTTTTTTTGCGTCAATATAGGACCTAATATATATAGTTTGCACAGATACATGACATACAAACCACCCCCCTCCCTTTTTTTTGGGGGGGGGGGCAAGATTCAGAAACTTCAAAACTGCTCTGCCACAATCTTACTAGTTTGTTTGGATTCAAAGATGGCCTGCACAGGTACCCCTGCCAGACGATCCCCCCCCCCCCCCTTCCACATCCCTTCCGTGATGCCACAGTACGTGACTTCACGTCCATTCTCAAAATTTAATTCATACAATGTATTCTGGGTCCATGGTCAAACTGTAGGTCACACAAGCGGGTGAGTATAGTAGACTATAGTACCCCACTGGACTGTTGTGTGAAATAATCACAGCCTGGAAGGTGAAAGCCAAACATGTGCACGTGCGCTGTGATGAAACGATCCCCCTTTCATGAACATGTTATTGGTATAATAATACGATGATATTTGGACGTGAAAGGTTTTATGGGCGGATTAGCTCAATTGGGCTGTTTAGCCGGGGGGGGGGTAGCAAGCATGTGCTACTTTTTTGCATGATTTTCCGATTTTGTGGAGGGTTAGACCGCCTAACGTACACCCCCAACCACCACCACCACCCGGCGGCACCACCCCCGTAGATACGCCACTGGTTTATAATTAACCAGATGCTTTTTCAAGTTGCATCCGGGCCGTACGGATCGACAAGAACGGAATTCACGATCATGGACAACCATGCAGGATAACTACACATGCTGTCGGATGATGACGTACTTGGGCCAGCTGCCGCCAGCAACGGACATAAATATTGACAGTTGTAATTCAACACAGCCATTCCTTGCGTTATTTGCTCAATAAACGAACCAAGAACCATAGTAGCGAAGCATCAGTCTGCTATTAAAAAAATCATGCGATGTAGGCTTGTGTTGTACTCTGAATAGTGGCGTGTTCAACGGCATTGTTGTTTTGAAAGAAACATTCATTATTCATACTTTAAACAAGATGATTTGGAAATACATGTACATACCTTATAGTACTAGGATCGTGGAGCTCTTTTTTTTTTATAGTTCCATGGCAGGCTAGTGACAGGTTGCTCCGCGAAAATAAAAAGCACTCATCCTCATCGCACGGGTCGGTGTGCAACGGTACATGTTTGGGGAAACCCTCGTAGTGCACAGTGCTAGTGCCAGAGGGTAAAGATCGTTCGGTTGGGATGCATATTGTACTCGCATTTACTTGCACCTTGCTCGCTACTTTGAATATTGATTGTGTTCACTCGTATCCCCGGCCGGGTAGGTCGACGTGCTTCAGTTCTTTCAATGGAGCCCGTGTCACAGTGTTTGCTAAGGGTCAACGGTGGGCACGTTGTAGGATCGTCGAACTAGTAACAGCTTTTGACAGCGTAAGTGGGCAGGTTGATGGACGTGGCGGATCCAAGATTTTCAAAAGAGAACTGCTTGAGTATCTCAAGAATTTTCCAAAAGGGGGAAGGGGGGGGGCGGCTAAATTATTTTTGTAACTTATTAGACAATAAGAGAGGAATGTTTTGATCGAATGCAATTTGTGGGAACTTTCAACACAAAAACCAGGCTATATGGAAAACCAAAACGGATATCACGTTATTTTGATGCGCGATCATGACGCTCACGAAAGATATAGTTTTCATCGCAAAGCTATAAAGCCCCTCGGACAACTTTCGGGATTTGAATTTTGGGGTTGGGTTTCTTTGACGGGTACCCGATTCCCGCACTGCCCGTAAATCACACCACTATAGGGCTGACTTCTTAGGCCAAAAAAAATAAGTCTCCGGTTTCTGGTATGCGCGCGCGTCGCCGTAGCCATGCGCGTCGGCAAAATGATTTTTTTTTTTCAATAAAAGATGATGTCTCAAAACCGCCAAACTCACTGGTTTGACTGGAATCCTGCTGCTGCACAATTGTAACGTACTAAGTTTAGTCGGGCACCATTTGCAGTCATCAACCGACATTTGAAGCAAAAAAGACAGGTAACAAAAAAAAAAGCCGCGTCGTCGCACCACTTTTTGGGGAAGCTCCAGTACCAGAAACCGGAGACTTTTTTTGGCCTTATACGCCAGCCTATACAATCTTGTGAGGAGTCTAAATGAAAGTGCCAGTATGCCGAATTAAAGGACAAGACAGTTAGATAAAGAGCTATCTCTCACTCCAACATATTTATGTTGTGTTTAAAGTGACAAGAACTAGAACGTCCCATGTCCAAGATTTCGGGAGGGAAGTGTCAAAACATATACCACACACAAAAATGCAAAACTTCACGAAATATAGTTTACGTCAAAAAGTATAAAAAATTTATTGAGCGCATTTTTTTTAATATATATATACATACATGTATATGACAATCAAGGTGATTTTCGGGGATAAATTGCATACAATTAAAACTATCACAGTGTTGTCACTTATGCAGATCCCAAGATTTACTCTACACTGTACAACACAACAGACGTCAGAACTAGTTTAAGACGATTCAAGTTCTATAATTAATCTTTCCACAACATTACGATTTTTCATAGCATTATGTTGTAACTTCTATATGATATAAGCAACACGTGAACAGCAAAGCCCGGCTTCGTTCTGGCCTCTACTCCATCTCTGCATCAGAATCATATAAAAGCATTTTAACATCCACACCAAATGGAAAGATCCAATAGTTTGGTCTCATATTTAATAACGATAATTCTGAAGCAGAACATGAACTTATTTTAGCCTGTAAGAAAAAAATTCTTTGAAGCCGATTTCAGATATAAAACCGAAGTTTAAAACAAATATGTTCGATGCTTGAACGACCTCCCTTGAAATTATACGTCTATTAAACACACACATACAACTACATACAACTTTTAAAGCATCACATATACACGCAGTAAGAATACAACACATTTCAGTCAGACGAATAGATATAATTTGTTAATTTCCAGTATCATTACCCGAAACAGAGCATATTGCTGATGGATTCTTTTCGAAGGGAAGATTGATAATTTTGCATAAAACGTCACCAATATATTATTATCCTAAATTAGTAGATTTGATATAAATAGCATTAATATAGTAATTACATCAATATATCTTTTTTTTGATAAGTTTCGAATTAAATGCAGGCCACTTAATAATCATTTTGTAGGCACATTTGGTAACAGGAAGGGTTAATTAGTCATGAAATAAAGTATGTTTGGTCTTTCATTGGAATCAATTTGATACAGTGAAACTGTAACAATTCAGGCACATAGCAGTTTATATACTTTCAAAACAACATTTTTGATCAAGGCACAGATTTTCAATGTAATTACACAAGATATAAATCATCGAAAGCACACTACAATTATACAAAAGAATTTTGCATCAAGTTAATCATTTCGTTTCCTTTGGATTAATTATTGTATTGCTTTGGTTCTTTATTGAATTAAGTCTCGAGGAAAATAAAATTTTATTTTAAGTGTCTCAAAACCAGTATAGCTATTTACTCTAAAAGTACAACGAAAATATGACTACATTTCATTATATTCTATTTTTTTATCTGAACTTCACCCTCTTTTACCATACAAGACAAAGGAGAGTGATGATATATATTACTTATACATAGTACTCTATAAGCAACCTATGTAGATCCTACATTGTAAATAACACAATTTACTGACCACTAAAAGGAATGAAACCAGTGAAAAGGTGCTAAGTTTCCAGGGCTGTGATGAAGTCATCACAAGTTATCATAATTCATCACAAACCATCACAATTCATCACACAAGCCATCACAAGTCATCACAAGTCATCACAAGTCATCACAAGTCATCACAAGTCATCACAAGTCATCACAAGTCATGCAGTTTCAAGTTCAGTCACAAGCCATTCATCCCTTCTTACTTATGACCTGAACAGATTTCAATTTTCATTTGACTTGTGATTGACTTGTGGTTGGATTCATTACAATTCTGACTTGTTCTGTATTTGTATTCTCATTTTGTATTTTTATGGCATTTCAATGACACTGTACCCTTAAAACCAGGAAGAGCATCATTCCTCTTTCTCCTAGACACAAGCCTTATTTTGTAGCCTATCAGGCTGAAAAATTGCCATATTTCTGTGTACAAACAGCAGAAAAATATAACTATTGAAGATGTTTCATAACTGCACTTCAATCTAAAATAAAAAGTTCATAAAAAGTAAACATTTGAAACGTGGCATCATGTAAGCTTGCGTCACTGACGTCAACTTCACGTCTTCAAAATAGCGTCTTGACAGCGCCCTCATTGGGGTTCATCTTTGCATTACTGAGGGGCCTGGAGCACAGTACGTTCCTGCAGCACGTGGCTCAAGACTTCACTGATCAGTTGTAACGTCACCTTGGTGATGGGGTATTCCTGAGGGAGCTTGTTAACGATGTGAGGAGAACGGACATAGTATCTGACGGGGGAAGTCAAGAAATAAAACATTATTAGATTTATTAAGGGAATAGCACTTTGGAAAATCCTGGGGGGAATTGAGCGCTGTGTGTGGAGAACAGACTCGAGTTGAGAGGATATTTGATTTGTTGATGTGGAGAAGAATTTCCTAAGGAGCCCTGAGGGGCATTTCATGCAGCTCCTGCGCACAGGTAACATTTTGCTCAGCAAGAGCAGTTTACCAATCAAACTTTCATGCAGTGTACAATGCCTGTGACTGGCCCTCCGCTTTAATTTGGGCTAAGCATATACATTTCCTAAACGCAAAGATATTCCCTCAGCAAAAATATAGATTATCAATTAAAGTGTTATGCAGTGTATACATATTGCTTTGAATACTTTCTTTTAAGTTATTTAGATTACTGATTTTTTCAATAACATTTTTTCTTATCTTGAAATTGTAGTTTTTTTTTTTTTTAATACAGAGGTTTTGTTTTGTCAATTAATTTTCAAAATAACACAATTTTACTCTATCAAACTTTATGTAAACATTTCAATTTTATTTTTTATGATCCATTAAATGTTTACTTTTCAATTATATCCCTAACCCTGCTGAATCAAACAGGATCCAACTATATCATAAACCCGTTGGAGCCTGTTGGATAGAGCCCTTGTACATGTACACTATTCAAAGTCGGATTCTGTTGGGCACTGATAGAGAGTGCCAAGTTGGACTCTGTTGGATCCAGCAGACAACTACAAATTAGGCACAGTTGGATTCTGTTGGATCGAGCAGGAAGTAACCAAATGAGTAAATATTTAGGTAAACACCAGTAAATTTGGATGTCCAGTTTCTGTACAAGCAGGAGGCTTTTATCTGGTTGTCTTGTATCAAATCTTATCTTCTATCAGAAACGAACTATTTTATTTGTTCTTGTGAACCAAATCAATACACAGTATACCAATCTACGCTAGTTTTATGATCCAAATTAACAATCATTTTACATATATTTGCATCAATGCGAGTGTAGACACTGCAATTTACTGATACAAATACCTAGCAAGTAATCTGTCAGAAATGAGAAGTCTGTCAGACTGAAAGACAAACATACAGATTACAAAACCCATCAAGACAGCATTTCAATTTCCTGCCATCGCTGAAATAATGGCCACGACCCAGATAGAGATACTGTCAACTCTGCAAGAGGTCTGTCATTTGTCATCTGTTGGTTTCCTTTTCTATCCCTTCTTAAGATAGCCCTCACCTCGAGTGGCTATTAATGGGGCCTTGTGATGGGCATCTCTCATTAAAAAAAACATGACTTATCTAATGAAAGGTCAGATAATTCAGTGTTTCATCTTTGTGAGTGTACGATTTGAGAGCCATTTCCTTCTAACATGTATGATGTACATCTGTAGTGCGCATTTTAGCATTAAAAAAGGAAAGAAAGAACCCCCCCCCCCCTAAAAAAAAAGCAAGGCCACAAAACCTTCAGTGTCTGAAGCCTCTTTCTTGGCAACCACATGATGAAATGTACCCAACTCTAGTCGAATTTAAAACAGAATGCAGTGGAAAGCACGAATGTTCAACATTTTTACCTAAAAGATTTTAATCATTTCAAGTTCAAGATGGAATTCTCCAATCTGAAAAAAGTATATGAAATACCAAAACAAAATAGGGCTAAGTTTTGTACACTTTGACTAAAATTTTCATCAGATATCTGCAATTTCTTTTCCAAGATTTAGAAGAGAAAAAATAGAATAGTCTAGAGCATATGTCCCTTTGACAATTTTTTCCTTACGAACACATTGGCAAATCTTTCCAATCATGCATCATTTGTGAGCATTAGACACACAAAATTTGATCAGCTTTAATCAATACGTCCCCGGGCAGTGCAATCATCCCACCGTAAGCGATAAACCACAAACATTATCTGACGTCTGGCATGCGATATCCACGGGAGACGACTTGTAATTAGGCGTGCCTCGTAATTACTGGACAGTGGGACAGCTCACACAGAACGCCACTATAGTCTGTTAGCGTCTTGTCTTTGTTACAGAATTCTCTGGAGGTTTGTGTTTAGATTTAATCTTCTCTGCCTGGGAGGGGGGGGGGGTGGCACAGCTTGAAGAGTTATCGCTGGAAATGGATAAATTACTAATACAATTGAATTTGCTGTCAGGGGACATCAAGAGGCAGATTTGATTGTTGCTCTTTAATACAAGGCTTTAGACTAGCATGATAAACCATCTGTGTGGATATATTTGTTAGCATGCAGTGGACGTACACATTACACAAAGCCGTAGTTTTTGGTGAAATTTCCAATTATATCAGAAAATGGAATCAGTAGATAAAAATCTAAATCAGGATAAAGTTAAACACTATTATGCAAAACAAAAGTGTACATGTTTATCAATAGGAAATTGTCGAGCTATTGCTAAAAAAAAAAAAAAATATCGGAGCAAAGTTGAAGAAAATGATTATAAATGTTTAAAGCGAAGTAAAATCTGACTAATGAGTGCTAACAATCAGAATTCCAACCCGAACTATTGTAAGATCGGAACGAACTAAGGAAATATTGTTAGTCACAAAGCCAAAACTGGATCTGGGGGTTACAAATAAAGGAGAAACAAACAACGAGAAAGAGAAAAGGAATCTATTGACATTTTTGCTTGAATGGAGATCACTTATACAGGCATGCAACTAGGAATTTTGGGAAAACACAAGGAAACTCCAAACCCTGCTTGACTTTGTACAGTATTTTCAATCTGTAATGGCATTCATGAGAAGTACAAAACGAAGAAATCAGCGGATCCAAGAAAAACTTGCATACGTGCTTAAAAGAAGGGCAAAACAAGGATTCTGGCAAACACTTTGACAATGAGGCAGCACGAAGGATTAAACTTGAAGCAAACTTGTACTTCACAGTACCAGCTCTGGGAACATGAACGTTAATGAAGGTAACAAAAAAAACAAGTGAAGATACAACAGTTTTAAATTGTTTACTTTTGCTCTTTTGCGAACCTTTTAGCACGATTGAGAGTTTGAAATGAGAATTTATGTGAGAGAGGAATGAGCCCCACCTGAATTCCTCGGTGTAATTGTTGCGGACGTGCGCTGCGATGGCACTACTGTACTGGATGAGGGTCTGGAGCACAAAGAACTGCTGGAATAGCAGAACGGCTTGGACCGGCGTTAGCATCTCACTACTGGACGGCATCAGCAATCGCATCGCTCGGGATATCAAACGCTCTACAAACTTAAACTGTTCAAGGAGAGAGAGGTCAAAAAAGGAGTCAGCACTAGCATGGAACAAAGTATTCAATTAAATGTTGGTGCTGAAAGAGAAAAAAATCCAGTACTTGAAAAAAAAATCACATTTTCAAAAATCCCACAACTAACTTTGTCGATGGATGAATGTGATAACCCCAATCCTAAGTCATTTTGATTTGGTTAGTTACTGTTGATTAGGTTAGTCACTGACTGGCCGACTGGCTGACTGAAACCTGGGTATATAATGTCCTAAACTAAGACTTCCGGGTCCAGCTCCACTCAGCAATACTAGTCTTATTCTAGGAAGACATTGCTTACCAAAAGTCTCTCTATTCAAAACCTTCAATTCCGTATTTGGATTTTAATGAGAGAAAGCTGTTAATGCCCCCCCCCCCCCCTCCCAATGAGCTCCAAGGAAAACATGTAAGAACGCTTCGTTTGTACGCCTGGCCAACACTTTGAAGCATATCATTGTTTGGAATCCATGTTCATAAATTGACTGGCACTGTTCAATCTGCAACAAAATGTCCACAGGTAGAATCAAATATAATACTCTTTCATTTCCCTGAACCGCAAGTAGTGCTTTTTGACAAGGACATTACCCTTTTTTAACAGGACAAACAGACACAAACAACCCAAAAAGCACACGTACACAGAATTGAGTAATTTTGGTAAAGCTAGAAAATCAAAATTGTTACCGTACATAAGCACTTCAGTTTTTTCATTGATCATTTGTCATTTGTCCAACAAGGAGTGCAACCTACATGTACTACCTACCGTTGTGGTCTGCAGTGATTCCAGCACCTTAATGATCCAGCAGATGTTGAAGAAGCGCCCCTCTGTGTTGCCCCAGTTGGCCTGGTGGGCGATGAGGATCAGCTCAAACAGAACCGTTGTGGATGCATCTGTCAAGTCCTTGACCAGATTGAACACCTGGATGGGGTGTCACAAACAGAGAAGACGACCACATTTTTAAGGTTTAGTTTTTAGCGTAATATCTAAACGCCCATTTTGTTTTTGATTAATAAATATTAAATTATTACTCATAAATACATCAGACAGTTTAGCCATTCATATTGGTCGAGAGCCCGTCACGTGGCCGGTCTTAAACGGATGATAAAGACATGGCTAGCTGGTCTTAAACACTTTTCCAGTGTCACAATAAAATGTGGACTCCTAAAAACCCAGTGCCTCTTACCGTTTCATTGGTTGAACGTTCACAATCCTCACGTAGGCATGCGCAACACTACAAGCGAGTCAGAATTTTATAGTTCTAAATTCAAAACGCAATGCCCCAGGTGCGTTCTGCGCGACATCGCGCAGAACATGCTACGTGCGTGTCAATCTCCATAAAAGGGTTGTTTGCATTTTACTCGCCAGCTGAACACTCCATTATTTTGCTACAGGGATGTTTCAAAAAGCATGAAGTGAACTTGTTGAACAAAATTGGGATTTTTGAACAACTTATTTGATTTTTTTTACCAAAAAGGTATTTATGAATGGGAATAAATATGTGCTCGGTCGGTATTTATCACTCTGTTTAAGACCGCTTAGAGTCTGGGTGCTGATAATTACCCTCGCGTCCGGCTCGGGTAATTATCAGCACCCAGACTCTAAGCGGTCTTAAACAGAGTGATAAAAACCTCCGGAGCACACATTTATTCCCTTATTAAATATATTGGCTTCATTTGTTCTAGTTGCAGTCTGTTGGATGGATATACATTACTCTGCAGGCTGCACTCGTTTTGGGGTTTTTTTTTTGTATGGATTACGTTACATTCAGCATTCAGAGACAACCCTACACGGGTTACGGTTCATTTGTAAACTTCATACATACCATGTTACCTACGACATCACACGGACAGGCAACCAACAGGCAACCCATCCAGTTAGCACTTTATCGGTCACATGTGCAATTTGCATGCATTGTGATAGGTGCTAAATCATGCAAAGAGATTGCTGTGAATGGTACATACAACGTGTATACAAGTATGTGTGTCTTTAGTTTTGGAAATTTACAATGCATGCATATTACATAATTTACCCAATGAAATCTCTGGAAACTTGAAAATGTGACTGAAATACAGCACTCAAATAATTGGCAGACTTCAAGATCAAACATTTTAAATACAATTCGAATTTGTACAGCATGAATTTAACTGTTATACAGCCTCTCAAACAAACACATCAAAATGATATGACTTAGTGTCCTTAACTCAATCTATGTAGTTCTGCCTCATTAATTTTACAATTCCTTGGTATAGAAACCTTTTCACAAAAATCCCAAAGGTGTTTTGTACCACTCCTACAGCTCTGATAATTATGGGAAATGGTGCCTATGATAGGGTTGTGCACAAAACTGTTCCAACTTTAATGACCCCCAACCCCAATTTTCCCTTATAGTACCCCCCACGAATGTTGGTACATGTTTTGGACCACAAGCAAACAATCCAGCCTGTTTGTGACTTGAAAATGTTGCCTCTAAATAGGAGCTGTGACATTAGGGAGACATTGAAATTTCTCCCTAATGTCTGGTGTCCCTCTAAGGTATATGACTCATGAAGAAAACATATTCTCCCTAACTCCGATTTCAATACGAGTTGGCACACCCCTAGGGAGTTAGGGTTAAAGGAACATTAACAGGAATATCCACGCTTCTCTGTATGTCAGTTGCAGTTAGGTACAACAAACCCCAGAGTTCAAGTTCAATAAAAACGGTTTCTTTAAAAACGATGACAAGTTCAACATACACTGCTCTGTATGCCAGTTGCAATTACATGTAGGTACATGTACAATAAACCCCAGTGGACAAGTTTGGCCTGTGACATGTATTTATACACAGAGCTCAAGTTCAATAAAAACAGTTTCTTTATAAGGATGACAAGTTCAACATCCTAGACAAAAGAATTACCAGCAGTCAGCACACACAGTGCAGATAGTGCATAAATGATGTAAAACTAATAGTTTTGCATCTAGATTAGAGCAGCACAGTATGGAGGTTGAAGTGCAAGGTCAAACACTCAATCACATGATTTCCTTCAGTATGTTTTCAGCCCTACGTGTACCGTCCAGTGGTGTAAGGATCAGACATTCATGTGTGCAGAGCCACACTACGAACATCTGATAATACATGTATCCTAACATGCAAATTTTATGCTATCCCGCGACAGCCAATCGAAGTCAACTTTAGAAACATTGCCGTCGTTTCAATCACTAAGCTGGACTATAAAGCTGTTGATTGGTCAATTTGGATGCCATGTTTTTGTAATACAATAACAGGTTACCGAAGACCCGATAGAAGGCGCCCGCTGAATGGTCAGAATCTGGAGGTCAAGACACAGTCTGTTTTTGCATAATTAATTGCTGAATCTGCTTGCAAATCATAGACTAATGCTGTGCAAGGGGACATTCCATAGACTACCATACAGGCACATACATGTACATGTAATCCAAACGAATGGCTTAAAACACAACACATTACAGACTACATGTTATGAACCGACATCACAAAATATGAGCACAGTATCAAAAGTTGAAAACTTGAAAATGTTGAAGGGAACTGTCCATGCAACTTGTACGTTACCTCGAGTTTCTACATGTAAGACATTGGAATCCAGAAGCCAAGTAGTTACAGAAGGAAGTAGAACGATTTGAGTCATAATTTAATGAAGAAAAAGGACATTTTGTCAGATTTGGTTTGAAAATCAATTTTGTAGTAGAGAATGATTTCAGACTCATCTGTTAACTCTCCTTGAAGCAAAAAGTAACAAGCCTTCTTGGAAAAGGAAAAAGAAAAAGGGAGGATAAAAGTGAATCGTTTCATTTCAGTGAACGAATTAATGGATATTCTTTTACAAAAATATTTGAGTTCAATTCACTCTGGTCTCACGCTAGTTTCAGGTTCACAAACATAGCAATCGTTGCACACACAAACACGTTTGCAGCAACTTTTTGAAAAGAAACATGTGACTGGAATGAGGACGAGCACTCCAAGGGCTTGGTTCCCTGAAATTCCTTCGCGGTGATTACAAGGCAACCGTAATTTTGCAGGTATAGTTGTGTGAACGTTCATATTCTATCGTTTTGGTTTGCAGTAACACCATGTGGTAATAACTACTGTCACTCAGTAGATATTTAGTTCTGATAAGAACTTGTCCTGCTTATCAACTTTCGATAAGTATTTTTTAATGTCTATTTCCTATTCTACTTTTCCACAATTTTCCCAACTATTATCATTTTCATCAATAGCTACATTGTATTATCATTTTGAGAGGATTTAAGAACCCAATGGGCACAATCCGGCCAAAAGTGTCCCTTTGACCTCTGACCCAGGGATCATCTTACCTCAGCATCTCCATAGGTCTCCCAGCTGTCAGCATCAGTCTCCAGCATCAGGGAGTGAGCTTTAGATTTGGGCGGTCGCCATCGCTGAGGCACTTCTGGTAGACAGGTTAGCACCACTACGAGATCCAACACAGCTTTGCCGCTAGAAAAATCATACAAATAAATAAATACATTAATAGAATTAGAAATAAATAGAAATAAATTGATCAACTTCGACAAAATAAATATAAATCTGAATAGTATTTTTTTTTTTTTTCATTTCTGGTTATAAAAACAAGGATTTCTCTTAAAAAAACCCAGAAAAAAAACAAGTGGACGGGTCTCATAGAAATTGTGTGTTGGTTCATGCTTTCACTCAAAATTAAGGTGGAGCAACTTTAGATACTTGGGAAAGGCGGGCCTATTTCACAAACATGTAAGAACTTGTACACATCATTATTCACATCGATTTCACACTCTAATACAATGAAACACAATGACAGAGTGCTTTCTCTTTTTATCACACAAGTATTGCAACTTGTCAGCTACTGTTGAGAGAGTGAGTAACAGCTTGTTGCAGGGTTTGAGGTAACTCAACGAGTGCTAGAGTGAAGGAGTCTGATGTACTCACTTGTTAGCCTTGACTGTACTGAGTCTGCCTGGTACCATCTCGGTCTCACGGAACATCAACCCAAAGCTCTCAATCAACAGAATAGCCAACCTATACATAAAAGCACAAACAAGAAACTCTTAACAGTGATTATCCGTAATGACATATTTTCTGCTTTTATAAAAGTATGCAACAATGCCCTAAAATCAGACGTCCTCCTCCGCCCATTTCTTTACTGTATGTGTACTTTGTTATGCCTAACAAAGACAGAAAGACGAGGGAAATGACAATAAGAAGTAACTGTTTCAAGTTAAATGTAGGATACATGTACATGTGTATGTTTGCCAAAGTCAGGTCTTATCATGATGGTTGTTTCCCAAGTGAAGTTATAGTTTCTAAAAATTTACTGATGAGCTGGCCATTAATGCTACAGGCTCCATGCACAAACCAGTAGTGTCTTTGCGTTAGCACCAGGCACACAGCGGCAATGTCGTTCAAGAGTATGCCTTACACTATCTCTTTGTCACCATTGAGGGCGTCATAGTACACCCAGTCCATAATGCTATTAACCCCCAACCTTTAATCAGCTTGAAAAGGCCTCAGCATAAATAACCCAATCAACTTACTCCAGTTCATCGGCCCTGTGGTGTCGTCCCCTCTCATTGTTCTGTAGGTTCAGTTCCGACTTGGGCAGATAGCGATTCAGCTGGGCGATCATAAACTCAAACAAATCTTCATTCTTTAATACAAAGAGAAAAATCATTAGAAATGTATTTATAAGAGATTTACGTCACTCCTATTGGTGGGACCCTGTCTCAAAAACCACCAGAACGCATAAGTTGGGGTTCATATTCTTTAACTCATCAGCATTTGTACTACAGGGCGAGTCCAAAAATTGGAACCCGAATGTCGGGACTATTGTTTTAGTGAAGCTCTGCATGTAGCACTTTGAAAATCTAGGATATGAAAGCCCAATTCATAAGCTTTCTTTTAGTACAAGAATAATTCAAATCACTCATATACTTTTCAAGTTACGGAATTTTAAACACAACCACCGTTTTAAAGTTCTGTCCATGGATCACAAAAAAGGTGTGCGTTCTTTCAGCAAAACGAAAACAATTCACACACATCCCTACATGCCCTATGTGATTTGTTTTTGTTTTGCTGAAAGAACACTGAACTTTTTTGTGATCCGTGGAGAGAACCTTAAAATGGTGGTTGTGTTTAAAATTCCGTAACTTGAAGAGTACATGAGTGATTTGAATGATTCTTGTACTACAACAAAGTTTATGAATTGGGCTTTCATATCCTAGATTTTGAAAGTGCGACATGCAGAACTTCACTAAACCAACAGTCCTGACATTTGGGTTCCTTTTTTTTTACTCACCCTGTACACTGTATAACATTGTGTCACTGAAGAATCAATAAAACCGTCTATGAGCTCAGGCGGTTTCAGACGCTACAGTGACTAAAAGGTAACAAATCACAAACGTTTCACAAGCCATGCAAGAACAATTCAACTCACCTTCCAAAAGAGTTTTTTCAAGACAAAATACTTCTCAGCGGCATTGCAGAGCTCTTGAACCAACTGAAAGAGGTCAGGCATGGAGTGGGTGGAGTTAGTGATCTCTAGCTTCAACTGCTGAAACTGACGCTCCAGTAATTCCCTGCAATACAGTATTAAACAAGATAAGGTCAGTCTAATAATGCTGGTCCCAGAGTGCACACAATTATATTCAATTGAATCAGAATGACTAGCTATTCACTGGAAGTCTTTCATGCATTCAGTCTACGAAATGGGCCCAATTGAGCCCATCCACTGGCATTACGGGGGTAATCCTATCCAATAGCACTGCCCGGCTTGTGACACCAGCCAACGACCAGGCAAAATCAGTCGGGGAGTCAGTCAGTCAGTTAGTCAGTCAGTCAGTCAGCTAGTCAGTCAGTCATGAGAGAGATACATGGAGATACAAAGAGGACTTCACTATGCTGGCCCTCTGGGACCAGCACAAATTAAACAATCAGTTCTTGGTGAAATACAATTTTTACTCCATTGAGATTACCACCCACAGAAAAATCAAGATTAGGCCTACAGTGTTATTAAAAAGCGTAATTGTTCAAAAATCTACACAAATCACATGTCCCCCACTTTAACAAGTACCTGTACATGTGAACATTAATTCTATACATCATTGAATTGTGGCTTTTCATGTTGTAAACCTCTCACTTAAGCTATCATGCACAATCCCATCACAATACTCAATAAAATGACACGCTTGTTTCCTCTGCAGTAGTCCATCATGAACACCCCACTGATCAGTGACAATAATCCATCAGTGTTCCATTCACTGGGCTAAAGAAACAACTTGTGTTGGGGCTCATTCAGGCAAATATTTATTCATGGTTGTTCGGTAGCATACTGGGGTCACTAAAGGGGGGGGGGGGAATAAGGAATGTCTCACTTTCTGGAGGGGCACCAAATGTGTTTTACAGAAAAAAAAGCTTGATTTTGCAGTCCTGAATTCTGTGTAGGGGGTGGTACTAATGGAGGCCTCATGTTCCGGAGAAGGCACTTAATACATTTATAATAAAAAGCTCATATTTGCCTTCTGCAAATACAGAGTTGGGGGGGGGGGCACAAGGGGTAATACAGGCCTCAGGGGGAGGGGTACCACCATCATGTCCCCCCCTCCCCTATGCCACTGCGGTTGTTCACCTACATGTGCATGTAGGTGTTACTGATTGAACAGTTGAAGTATCCTCTAGAGTGCACTTAATTACAAGAATGTGGCGTGCATTAAGAAAGTTGTGTTTAAGACGCGCAACCTTCTGATTCACTGCCATTCTTATAACATGTATAATGGCTTGCCATTTGCTGCACTTTGGTTTAGCAAGATAGCTTGGGTCTTCTCTAGCTTCTGTTCCAATTGATGGGCAGGGAGTTGTTCAATTCAGCGATTCCATTCACACATTCACGATCATCTCCTTAGCAATAAACAGAGCTATTGTTGTCAAGTCTGTCGGCAAAAATCACCGACTAAGCATTAATGGCATTATTGAATTTTTGTTGGTTTATTAATTTAGGTTGGAGAAAATTCAGAGAAGTGCTGTTAGTTATATACTGCACCCCCCCGCCAAAAAAATATTCTTATTTATTTTTTTTAACCGTGAGACACAAAATTATTTCATGCAATGACGTTTTGTTTTAGTTTTTATTTAGTGTACTAAATGAAAACAAATAAATAATGAAAGGTTTGCGGAAACACCATGTGCGAATAATTTCTCAACTTAAAGAGAATGGTTCTGAGAAGAACCACAGGTGTAAACTCGACGAAAACAAATAAACTGTATGCATGCTAAAAAGTTGTAATGTACTGGAAATCTATGCGCTGAACTAAAGCTTAGCAAGTGTATCAGTTGCACATGCAGCAATATCTGTCCAATTATGCATGCTGTGACAGGCCTAGGCCGGTTGGGTAACAGCAAGTGCGTTAATTGTGTTTGAACAGATGAATTGGGGGAAAGTAAAGTGGTACTTGACACGAACTGTGTTGGCACACTGTCAGGACTGTAAACTCACAGGGGACATAAGTATTGTATGCATGTACACAGGCTAATATAAAAGCTGTTCCTTCCTCCAGCATGCCTCCAGATTCACAAGACTCTCTACAAATAATGTGCCATGGATCGACACATACGGTACAATCGTATGTTTAAACACCTATAGATGTTGAAAATATTATTAGACGTTCATGACCTGAATTTCTGTGTCATTACACAGAAATTTTCTCCATTACTTGCAACACTTTTCATGTCCATTTTGGGGGTTTTGCATCTTTTTGATTTGTCACTATGGTCACTGTTTTCACATGATCACTTTGAGCATACACAAATAAAACAATGGAAAGAATGTGATATCCAGACGCCCCTTTAATGGGTCGGGTTAAAATGTACAGAATGTACGGAGAGTCAAAACATTTTCGAAGTATTTCCAAACAAAATTGGAAATGTGTCTCCAGATTCATGTCTTTTCAACATTTTTGCAATGACTGACCTTTTATAAGATGAAGAAAAAAGCGGCGTCAGGTTGCAACATTCTTTCCAAACAAATGTACGCACGCAATTTTTGTTGATTTTTTTTATTGATGCTACGTGCTGCAATTGAACAATCACTAATTAACTGGTCATATGCAAAGTTTACAAGAAAAGCTGAACTTTGAGGGTTTAGCACTCCATCATAAATCTGTATTGATAGGTGTATAAATAAACGTTCACTTTGCCATGCTCAATCAAAAATATATCTGGCACAGTTGCAGTTTGTAAAAGTCCATGTTTACCGGTACATGTATGTATACAACCTTCATCAAGTAGTGAAAACCAATAGGCATAGACATTCAAATCAGATAAATGTACACATTTTTTGTACATGAACATTCTTCACAGAAATGTGCAGTCCCTGTTCAGATCAAATTTCTGCCTGAAATCTTCACTCCGTATAGTTCTGAGCTTTAAGGCGCTCGCTGTTGAACTTTGGACCTCATTTAGGCAGAGAAAATATGCGGGCCTCTGCAATGCAACTCGGCCTTTTGCAAACAGTCACTTGAAACTGGCCAAACAAACTGTACTACAGACACTGTACATTTAACCTACACAATGCTAGAAAATGCCAAGAAATCAGTGCACATCCCCAATTGAATAGTGTAATACGATTTTGTAAAACGCTATCCAGTACAATTGCTGCACGCAAAGATATGCTAGAGTAAAGAACATAATTGATCACAAATGTAACTCAATACAGCTGAACGAAGCCCAAGTGCAACTGGCACAAGTTTTGGGTTTCAACAGCAGAAAATCAACTGAGTATTCCCACGTAAATGGAAAGGAATTCCCATTCCTTGGGAATGGGAACCTGTCAGATTTGTCCCCCTGAAACCATCATCTTGTCATTTTAACGAGTTTGGAGACATTCCACAATTTAACGAGTTTAAAGACATTTCAACTAAGACAAAAACTGTTGCGTACATCTCATAACAGTATTAAACCTGTACTGTTCAATTATCTAAGGTGCTTGAATGAGGACCATGCATGACTATTCACTGTACTATTTTTAGGCAACTTTAACCACATGTACGCACTGCAATTTGTCCTGCTACACTTACATGTAGTCATCATGAGAAACCATTAGAAATGATGCAAGTATGAGAAACATATATGCGGCCTGGAAAATGTTTCATGTAAAATCATCATTTAGTGTAGCGGTACATTCTTTTCATCAAAGAAAACTATGGACAATGTGCATCTGACATCAAACTGGTACATGTAGGTATGTTTGCTAAAATAACTGAACAAAAAAGTGATATTTGAGCAAGTATTTCCGTGCAACATATTTTCTGTATGCGCATTAATTTTAATGGTCCACGCTATTTTGTGCATGTACAAGGTATAGTGCACAAGCTCCCATTCCACATAATCACACTCACGCTGACAAATGATTATCAGTAGCTTGGCTCTTGACAAATTGTCTTGAAATCTGAAACTCTCTTACAGCATACGTCTTTTTATCAGCTCATGCAGGTTTTTTGGGGCACTTCACAGTGTGGCTGGAACGGCATACATGGGCATCTATGGGTGCATATAAAGGGCTTCTGAAGATAATGATTTTGAAAAGGGTTGGGAAATGCTGTGTTCAAATTTCTCTGTTCAATTTGCAATGAAAAAAAACATCAGAATACAAAATAATTCAGTCAACTTCTTAATTGCCTACATGTACATGTACTTGATGGCCAAAAAAGAGGACACGCTCATCAAATGTGACAGAAAATACAAGTGCAGTGCTCGTAATCCCCTTATACATGTACCGGTACTGTATTTGTCTTTTCCAATGTTTCAATGTGCTCTATGGTTAAAAAAATGCACAGTTGGTGACAATATGAAGTGTCAAATAAACATTAGGATTGAGGTGTGTACCTGGATGGGAGGCGTTGTTTGCTGCCACTCTTGTTTGTTCCCATGCGACTCGCTATCTTGGGATCTTTTAGTAAAGTTGATCGCTGCAACAAAAATTCAGGAAGAGTTACCTCGGTACATATTATATAAAAATTAGTCATGATCAATATCTTTTTGACAAGCCTACTGCTACATGTTTACAAGTACACTGTAAACAAAATACATTTATATTACGAATTAGTGTTACTTTTGACTTATGATATCAATTCGCTCTTTTCACACTTCCGCCATGGGCATGCACAGCCTCGATCTGGCAACTGACGCCTGATGTCAGCGAATACGCTCTGGCTTTGTGCACATCAGATTAAAATTGCACACTTCACGCTATAGACGTGCAAATCAGTATGTATGCGTGGCATGTCTCGTCCACAGGGCTCTCAAAATCACATGTAGTCAAATAGCATCCTCTCTTGGGCACAGAACCCAAGGGAAAAGAGATGAAGGTATGACTTACGACAATGAAGTTGTTCCAAGAACTCCTGAGATGCATCAGGAACGGTGAGGAGAGAGACAGCAAGTAGATGTGTAGCTCCTCGATAGCTGCCTCCTTCCTGATGTCTTCCTGATCACCTTCCTCACCAATGCTGCTATTGCTCTTGGAAGAGCCTGAGTCCACGCTCTTAGATTTCATGAATTTATGCCTCTCTGGTACGTTCCCATTCCTATCTTTTAAGATCTGTTCCTTGGATTTCCCATTGGCTTTGATGGATGAGGGGAATCGGAACGGTTCTGATTTGATCCCGTCTGCTGGATCTGGTGAGGGAAGGGTCCTGTGGGCCGTCGCGCTGTTCCGCCGCACGCTCTGATCGGGCAGGGCTAGAGTTGTCGCTAAGTCTGTGGTGAAGGTGTCTGGGACATCAATGCTTCGTAGAGTCTCTCCAGGGTTGGTTACAGGCCGGAGAGGGAGTGGCCTGCAGGTCTCAACAGCCTCCTTTCTGTCCAGGGACGAGCTTGACGAAGATTTCTCCATCTGGTCTGAGCTGCTCTGGGAGCCACCAGACATCATGGAGAGTTTCTGGAGTTCACTGGTGGGCAGAGAGAGAGACAACCGATCTGGTTCCTGCTCCTCCTCATCCTCGCTGTCCATCATCCGACGCAGAACTCTCAAGTCTGACTCATCGAAGCTGTGATTCAAGCGCAGCGCTGCCTCCTTGCTATTCTGTAGTGCTTTCCCGTTGGCCTGACCTAGGTTGAAATCCTCCACTTTACCCGTTTCTCCCTTTGGTGTTGTCAGCTGCAGACTCGGTGAGCTTGTTCCACTACTGGGGTTACTCCTGGCCCGGTCCCCATCAGATCCGTCCCTTTTCTCTGGTTGCTTCAGCAGGTCACGAAGGCTCTTCTTTCTGCGAGTGATTGGTACCAGGGTTCTGTATTTGATGCAGATGTGTTGGGAGTTCTCCCTGTCATCCCCGCTGAGAAAGTCGGGAAATTCATTAACCTGAAAGATAGCAAGTTAAAAATATAGGCCACTGTTACAAGAAGTGCAGTTAGTTTTCAATTTTAAAGAAATGTTGTGTCTTTCTCTCTGCCCCTACTACAACTATATTTACACGTATATCTCTTACTCTTACTCTTTTCTCCATGAACTTAGGCTACTCCTTAAATTTACCCTTTGCCAAATGATTCTGCCAAAAATAGCAGTGAAGTTTGTTGACATTTGCATCAATTTCTGCTTTAAGAAAGAAACGTATACATGTACATGTACTTAGTTCATGTAAAACAGGAATTGAGCTTGCCAAACGGTTTCATGGAAGAAATGCCACAGTTCAATTTACTCTACCCTTAAGGATGAAACGTTTACACGTTTACATGTAAAGGATAACAATTCTAAATTTGTTGACGAATTTAAAAAAAAACATTTAAATGAAACCCGATTTATAAAAAAGGGACGTAACTTTCACAGTCCTCCTTTAAGTTAAACCTACATAGCACTAATAATTTTTGATACTATCAAACCTATTTAATTTACAAAACCTTCAAAGCACTTCAATACTTGACTTGATTACATTCGGGCACATGTAGTTGAGTTTTTACTTTTTCAATGACTTCCATTGTTGATTTAGCATGTCGATCACACCGGTCTGCAGACAAATGGAGCATGCGTCAGCCTTTGTGAATGGCTTAATGCTTAAACGTTTAAAGTTTCTTAAAATATTTGCTTAACGGTTACAAAATTAAACGCAAAGTCACATCCTTCTCTACCCCTTAAAACAAATAAATTCAACAGGGTTTCCACAACTGTTGATACTAGTCAAAAGCTAACTGCAGTGTAAGCTACAAGTACATACATGTACACTCGGATGTCAGGTAGGCTACGTGTATGAAAAATTTAAATAATTCCTGCATAAAAAATGTATCTGCCATTAGTGAGGTAACATTTGACACTGAGAGTAGTGAATTATTGACAACGTTCTTCCTCAAGGAGCTAAGGGCTGCGCTGCCACAAGACACAAAGCACTTCCATCATACATAATACATGCCGCCCTACAGGTCCCCTAATCTGAATATCTTTTTAGTCAGAAGACCTTTTTCATCCGTTGGATACCCCACAGACGGATAATGGATCCTACATGTACTATTGAAGAAAAAATGATTGGTTTCATATAACATAATGGTTTCATATAACATATCATGTAGGCCTACAATTATACTTCAACAAATTTCTTAGAATCGGATCTGGAAACGTCTTTATCCTAAGGCACCAATGTCAAGGAATTGTTAGTTTTTAGGTGAATATGTTGTATAGGCAAAATGCTTCAATTACAATATAAATTCATGAATTGTCAGTGTCATTTTTCTATGTTTTAAGAGTTAGCAGAAAATCTGTGTCGCAAAAATTAGGCATGCACTGTCATGCAGTAGTGATAACTTCCTCCATATTTTACATTTCAACCGTCATCTTTAAAAACAGCAACTCATACTCGTAGTGCAACATTCAATCAAATAAAATGAAACTGTTACAAAACACAAATCACAAAATGGGTTTATGGGGTCTGAAGTCCTAGTGATGAACATTTGAATGAAACCGAATGAACTGAAAATGAAATATAACATCCTAATCCTTGCAATTATACTGGCAATCCACAGGCACTCAGACACTTGTTGAATCCCCCAAGCAATTAAAGATGTTGGATAAAATTTCCAGGAAAAAGCCCCGATCTCCTGATCACCTTTTGACTGACATGGCAAAGCCATTGAATGAGAGTTTATTTGGGATACAAAGAGACAGTTAGGGAAGAATTATCTTCATTCTTCTCAGACTCTGTTCTTCACAACCAAAGAAAGACAGACAGTCAGTACAATAGATACTAAGGATGGAGACTGAAAACATTACATAATGCTGACAGAGCATGTATTGATTTGATCATTGAGTGTTTCCTTGCTCTATGGTCAGCTTATTGAGGTACTTGTCGAGTGTGCTCACTAAGTATGAAAATCCACAAAGTCAGCCGTACATGTAGAATTATGGGGGAGCAGTCAATGGGTCAGCAGCATAGCAGAAGAATGTAGTATACATTACATGCATTATATACACCGTACGTATCCATGTTAGGCCCAAAAAAATTGAAAGTGCTGCTTCCGATTACATGGCACTTAAAAGTAGGGTAGATTAGAGAATTGTTTTTATGGCAATTTTTGTGTGTACGATCATATGCATGTAGTCAAGGGTAAAAGGTACTAATTGATGATTTTCGGGTTTTTTGCTCATTGTTCCATAGGGTATTGGGCTGTCAAAATAGGGTAGATAGGGTAACCTGAAGCAGAACTATTTTTTTTGGGGGGGGTAAGTTTCAACCCCCCTCCTTAAGAAAACACCTATTTTTTCTTAACTTTCGTAGGACGTGACAATTTACGGTTGATTACATCCTCAAAATGCCTATGAGTATCGAAATACTAAGAAGTGTGTCAACCCACCCCCCACCCCCACCCCCAAACTTTATGGGCAAATTTAATGTAGACAATTTTTTTTTCAATTGATCGTTATAGAAACACATTTTACCATTTTGGCAATAATACATTTATGCGATAATCAATTTATTGAATAAAGTACCGTATGATAGTTTAATTTTTGTTTTAAAGCTATAGTCCATCATTTGCAGCCATCCGAAAAGTAACTGGCATAATTATTGTTGAAAAATATACTTGGTTGAAAGATAGTAAGGGGACTAAACTCCCTGTGAAATTATTCTTTCTGGCAAGCTGTCATTTTGAAGTAATCACAAGAGAAGGATTTCCAATGGTGCATCTTAAGACGCACCATAGGAAAATTTTAATTAGTAGCTCGTTTTGTTATTCAGCGAAGCGCGCGCAAGCATTGTAATGACGCACACACGCGCGTGGTTGCTATAATTCGTCGGATCGGTGCGCGACATCGCGTGTAGCTGCAATCGGCTCAGTGAGAACGTGTCTCAGACGCTGAATTCAGGCCCAATTCAAAACATGATTCAGCAACTTTTGATTTGAAATTGAGATCCTAGAATGCTATTTTTCTCGGAATATACAGCTGAAGCTGAGCTGAAACTTCATCAGGTTAGTTGTTCAGTATCCTTCATTAGGTTTTGAACACTTTTGTTGCTTCAAACGAACAAAATGCATAAATTACAAATGATGGACTATATCTTTAAACAATACAGTAAACATATATAGCAGCTAAAAAAAAATGTTGGTTGCTTAGCTTGGACATTTGTTGCCTAACTCGTGTACCATTCCTATACTGTACAGGTACATGTACTGTACTACAGTGCAACCTGCTTTTGCAGATTATTAGTACCAGTACTTTATTGTCAAAATAACTTATAATGTAAGCTAACAGCTTTATCCAGGGAGTCACAACAAGATTTACCATCGTTGGCAGGCGTTAGAGTGTATTCACTGCAGGTATTTGCATAGCAGCGCTATTGTTATTCGAGACCTACTAATGTCCTTAAAATCATAGCAACACTTTGTTATTGTTGAACGGTCAGTGATGCACACAGTGACAAACAACTGACATTTGAACAGGATTTTTGCGCAGACAAAAAGCAGACTAAAGACAGCATGTACACGAAAGAAAAAATACATAAATGTGTGTGTAAATTTAATGGTCAGGTTTGATGAATACAGGGTCGGATTAAGTCCTGACATGTACATTGTACAATTACAGGGCAGTCTGCATGTACACAGAGAGAAGCCAATTCATTGAATTCTTTGGTTACATTACAGCCATGATAAAATGTTCATTTTTGCCGTTTAGGCCTGATTTCCCACCTTGTACTCTTGACAAAAACATGACGTTAATAATGTTTTTTTTAAGATTGCATATTTATTTGCAATTCAAAAATGCCACTGACATGCATTTAAAATGGACAGAAAACCTGCACCGCCACTTTACACAATTTGCTTATAAATGGGCATGTTGATAAATTCCAATGAAGCCTCCATGCCACTCAATATCAACCATAACAAACAGACTACACACTGAGCTCAATAATTACTATCTCAATCTCGCTGATAGATAACAACACACAAAACACATTGCACTAACACTAAGCTACACTGTAAGCTTCACAAGTGCTCTGCGCTCACTGTGTCAGCAAAGCAACAGGCTACGTGGCATCCTGTGCATTGCTGCATCCTGGTGTACCCGGAAGCATGTTGTCATGGCAACAGTACACAATGAATCGCTGGGTACCGTTATTGACCGTGCTAACGCTCTGCATGACTGCACAGCGCACAGCGCACAATACAAAGCCGTCGTCCAGGTTGATTGTGCACAATGAACGACTTGGGAATTGACCTTTTTTTTTTAAGCACAATTGCACAGGTGTCGGTTGCTATGGAGACAATTTAAACTAATAGTGGTTCAATGCCCTTGACCGAATCTATTGGTAGTTCCTGTGCTAAATTTAACATTGGTGTGCCTAAAATGCACAGTGAATGAACATAATGAAAACAAGGACCTCTGGATACACACACATTATACATGTCCGTGTACATGTATGTATTCACCTTTGCTTTCAGTACAAAACCAAAACGCAAGACAAATTCAGACCCACTTATGGTGGAACTGGTTGAAAACAGTGGGAGGAGCTTGACTTATAGTTATACATGTAGAAGTTCACTGAAATTACCACCCCCCCCCCTCCTCCCTTAAAAACTATAACCTAGATGTTTATGTACATGTATACATTGTACCAGTACACAGTCCTTCTGTTTTGAGGCGTGCGATCACACCCCCACGCCATCACACGCCTAAAAGCTTCCTGAGAAGTGCGAATAATCGCACGCCTGAATCCCTCAGTACCGCACACCTCGGTTTACATTTACGGCATAATTTATACTTCATATTTGTAAAAAATAAACTATGTCGGTGAAGAGAATATGGCTTTATTGTAAACCAAGATGAATATTTTGAAAAACAATACCATATTGTTCAGTCCCAGCTTGGACCAAAGAATCACACGCCTAGAAAAATCACACGCCTAGAAAAATCACACGCCTACCGTAGAAAAATCACACGTCTAGAAAAATCACACGCCTAGAAAAATCCAGGGGCGGATTGCAATAACGCAGTCTTAGTCTGCTGGCTAAACCAGTCTAATTTTAGCCGGCTATTGTTCTTAGACGGTCTTGGTTAAGACACCAAACTTAGCCCATTGCAATAAGCTGGTCTTTACTAAGCCCGCTTAGAGTAATGATTCACAAACAAACATTCCACGGTTACGGGCGAATACTGGAGCGACTGCACAATTTTTTTTTAAGGTTTGAGTGATTCATATCATGCGAAATCAAATGTCAATTCCGAAGTTTATGTTGAGAAAATTGTATTTGCAGTACAACTCAGTGTCATTACACTTTTCCAGAAGATCCCTTCTATCCCAGAGAATTTTCCCTCCAAGCAGTGTTCTACTTTTTTAAGATTTAATCATCAAACACTCAACAACTGGGAAAATATTTTGGGAAAGAATAATTCAACACACCAGTGAATTCCAAAAATCCCAACTATAGACCGTTTCGAACCAGCCCAACCCAGGCTAACTATTTTAAGACTGTCTTACTACTTAAACTGTGTTATAGCAATGGTCTTACTTATAGACTGACTGACAGCCAGAGCTTTTAGACTGTCTAATGCGCATAGCCAGCTTTAAGACCGGTTATTGCAATCCACCCCAGGTCTGCGTTTTTCCATATTATTATTATTTCAAGACATATTTTATTTCAAATTCCAAATTAGTTACAAATGCTTCCTTGTAACCATATTTTTACTGCTTTTACTATTAATTATGGAAGCTGTTATGGAAGTTGTGCACATGCATCAGTTACCATGGTTACCAAGAAAATATTGTTCTTGGACTAAAACTCCTTCAAAGCCATCAAAGAGAAAGACAATTTTTAACTGCAATTAAAAAGTAGGATTTAATTTAAACGATAAAAGTAAGAAAATATATATTTTGGGAAATATGTAAAAAATATGTTAAAAAAAAAGTTATCAGGGAATTCTAACTCAGTACTTTTAGCATTCAAAATGCTAGGACTTATCCTAAAGGCCTACTGTATGAGCTATCAAAGCGCTTTAATCAGTGTAGGAATTTAAAATCTCATAGAAATGAATGATCCAGACGCCACTTCTTTGGTTGTGTTCAAAGTCTAAAGATGGAGAGTCAAATGCATTTTCAAAGTGTTTTCTAAAAAAAATTGGAACTGTTTCTCAGTCCCAGATTCATGCTTTTCAACATTTTTGCAATGACTGACACTTCAATTAGATACGAAGTGACAATTTGGAAAAATGATTGTTGAATCCTGTTGCCATTTTCATCATAATTATATTATTATGATGAAAAAAGTGGTAACAGGATGCAACATTATTTTTTCCAAAATTGCCACTCCGTATTTTAATCTATAGGCCGATTTAAAATATGGATTTGTTTCATATAAAGACCAGAATCTCAGAAAGTTGACTGGACATCGCCGCTAGGCATCATCGACTAAGACCAACGCCTTTAAGGAACGTAAGGAAGCATTGCTTCACCCAGAGAGTTGTAGATATGTGGAATGGGCTTCCAGAGGAGGTGGTAAGTTCGCGCAGACAACCAACCAGTTTAAAGGCAAAATCGACAAGTACTGGCGAAAATTGAAGAGAAGGGGTACTAAAAAGACTTAAACCTATAAATTACACCCATCAATCCTAAGTGTAAGCAAGTAAGTGTAAGTCAAGTGTTTAACCCAAAAAAAATGGGGTTTTTTTTAGCATAAAACGAAATATCAACAAATCCGGCATGCAACAGTCTTTTACTAATTCATTTACATTTCAAAACGACAACTTACCAGTTGAATAGACGTGACATCACCCAGATGTACCGATTCATCTTCCCGTATCACCTTGGGTGGATTATCAGTGATATAAATCCTCTCATCAGACAAGACCACAAACTTGAAATTCCTCTTGACTTTCTTAGACTGGGCAATGCAGGCCTCGTATGCCCGCACTCTCTCAAACACACTCTCGCTAAGTTTCTGCTTGAGGAAGTTTTCCAGTTTTGCATCTCGCTTGCAACTGGTCAGGTCGTCGCCACTGCGAGCCATGCATGGGCACGACCAAGACGGGAGCGAGAAGCAGCCCACTCGCCCTACCGTTGAACAGGCCAAACCTCCCCACCAACTCTGCCGCCAAATCTCGCTCCACCGTCTGCAACTTTTTCTCGGTAGCGAAGGACAAACATACTACCGTTTCCTTTAATTCGTTGACCAGGTATTACATTGGTTCTTGGTCGTCAATGTATAGTGACAGTTACACCAAAACTGGATATGTTAACTTTAGCAGTGACAGTCTGATGACTTGTGTGAAATTATCAATCAAATTGTAACCCATTTCATCGCGGACACGTAAACTTTGCATTCGAAATATTCCGTGGATACACACACGGGTGACGGTGCGGTGTGCGTGCATGATCGATATCGCGTATCGCGCGACACGGCGCGCGTAAAAAGAACACACAGAGGGCGCTAGACCACTAAACAAATGACATTTTTGCAAAAACCGTTTCTCAGGATCGGAGGTATATATGTGGATGTTGATCATCAGTGGAGGCGGGGGGGGGGGGCATTAGGGCAATCCCTCCACCCACTGTCTTGAATGTCTTCCTTCGCTTCCCCAAGAAATTTAAACCAAACAAGAGAGAGAAAGGAAAAATTGTGGTAAAAAATGGGAAAAAAGAAACAAAAGAGTGGAGGTCAACATTTTACTGTACATTGTGTTTTTAACGATTATTATATTGAGTCACGATATAGATTGCTATTTTTGTAAAAGATCATGATCCTGGGCTACAAGATCTTTCTCAATTCAATGAGTACTAAACCGCAAAGTTTACCCTGGTCCATATTTTCAAACAGATAATTAGTGAGTTTCGTTAACTTACAGTTTGACAGGACTAATCCTGATTGTTGATATGATCCGAGAGGATTTCATGCCCGATAATGATTATAAACATGACGCTCAATGATCTTAGACAATATCGGCAAAACACAGATGGGTTGGTAGTTTGCCAAATCATTCGTGTAGGCTCCACTTTTAAAAGTGAGAACGAGCCCGTGCTCTCTTCCAGTTGTCAGGGACAATGCCGGCTCTAAAGCTACAATTACAGAATATTACATTTTGTCATAGGAGCAATACTAAAATCCAAATAATCCATGCAGTTTGTCAAAATTCTGATTACAATTATCCCAGTCCGGACGATTTCCCAACACTAATAAGGTGTTGATTAAAATCTTCAGCAATTTCAGCAGCATCACTTTTAGTAGACGAATCAGCAGTTCTTTTGCTTAGCCTTGGGCAAACATATCATAACTGATTTGACAGTAGTGTTCCACCGTGGGTCTGGCCCATCATGCGACTCAAATATAGGGCTATAAATATCATACATAACTAATTTATCAAATCCTCTCAAATTTGAAATTGAGGATAAAATTGAAACATAGAAAGGAAACGAATGTTCGGTATAGGCCTTATTATCATATAAAAACTGATTTAGCTGATTACAACTCGACAATTATAGAGTGCGCCAGGCAATTATTTTTACCTTTGCATATATTCTTGTATTCATCATCGTGCATTATGTACCTTATTAACATTTATTTATGAAGGCCTATATTAGTACTATTCAGCCACAAGGACGTATATAACAAGCCACTTTTAATAAGGTGTACCAAATAATCAAGGCCTGGGCTCATACATCATGGTGTCAGAGCAAGCAATCAGACGGACGAGCTACTTTGCTGGTAGCAATCCGCTTCCCTTCTGTAATCACCGCCGTCCGGCTTTCCTACCCCACTCTTCAAGACTTCCATCGAAAAGCGATCGTCAACGCGACCACTCCCCCCTGCTGACGCCCCCTGCAAACCCCGACAAGCAGCGGATGGCGAACGATCCTTCCCCGAAATGGCGCTTCCAGACACCATTTGAGGAGGAACACCAGGAACATTCAGCGAGCATGGTCCATGGACGGGCTTCGCACACGACGGAGCAATGCCCTGCGCGTTGCCGTGGGTCACGAGTGGTTCCAGCTCCTGGACTATTTGACCGAAGGACCATCGCTTCTTCGCGGAGTCTAGCCAGCAGTGTCGCATGATGGCAGATCTAGACAAGACCGAAGAAAGTTAAACACCCATGTCAGTTCAGACTGGTGTGTCAGAGTCGATCAGATCCAATAACATCAGGAGCGACTCAGCAGTCGACCCAGAGTGTAATGCTATTTAAATTTCAGACGAGCAAACTTTGTTTTTACTCTGGAGTCGTTTCGAACGAATGTAGCAGGCTTTTGTGTGAAGTCACTCCTAATTTTTCAAATCTTAGAAATAGTTTGGTTCATCGCGAATGCCAGCCTGAAATAGATGTTATTATTTTGACAAGGTTATAGAGCTCGAACTGTTACCGAGGGCGGATCCGGGGGGAGGCAACGGGGGCCATCCCCCGGCCCTGAAAAGAAAAGAAACCAATTTGTTTTTTTCTTTAAAGTGGCGTCGTAATAAAGACAGGCACTTTTTCCTCCAAAATATTTGGTTAAAGTGGTCAGAAATAGCCTCAGATCGCACCACAGAGCATCTAGAATCCCAAAAAATTCGGGACCTTTAAGCGGGCCCCTGACCCCACGCAATAATTTGTGGGACCCACTTTTTCGAGGAACAAAAAATGTTTGGGCCCCCAAAATGATTGTATTATATATCCGCCCTTGACTGCTACTTTCGTTTTTGATGGCAATTGTTAAACTGCATTAAAGGGAAAATACAACATTTGCAAACATCAAAAAATAAAACTACCAAATCATTTTGAAATACCTTGCTGGGCTGTTAGTGAATGACAGTGTAAAGCATCCTGTAAAATCATGGCACCTGGTATACTGTCAATTTCAAGAAAAGTGGTATTTTTGTATCAATTTCCAACGCTGATCGGCCGATCAGCGTTGGAAAAAACTGGCTTTTTCAAATACTGACCCCAATTGACCATCGCACTTGTTTGCAATCGATTACACACCTATGAACGGGTACAAGCCAGCTAGACTGGTTCCCTGACCTTACAATTCCCAAATGTATGTAAACTGCTCTGTTTCTTCTTAAATGGAGTCAGGGAACCAGACTACAGGAAAATGATTGTTTTTCTTGGTTTTTATAGCATTTTCGAACCCAAAACCTCAAAAAGTCAGTATAACTATATTTGCTATATATTTCCAACCCCCCAATTCCATCCATTTCTGAAAATTACAGCAAAACAGGAGTAGACCTAAATATTGTTAACTTACATCTTTGTAGGGCAAAACCTAGGTGGGTTCATACGCTTGCCTTGCCTTAGATACGAGTGCACGTCCCTGTTGTGAATATCAGGGTAGGGCGTTCGACCACGAGAAAACAGCTCCCACAGAAGTACCCCATAGGACCACTGTGGAAGACATTTGAAAATAGTTAGAAATTCGATATATCGTATAAAATGTGGCACGACAGACAACTTTTTTTTGTAAATTGGTTCAATATTTTAAACACTGTGACAAAATCGGAATTCTGGGTCATTCTTTCCCGAAATAAAAAGAGAAAAAAGAAGAAGAAGGGACCGTTATCTTATTCACAATTGAGTTGAGCCGCAAGTTTATTTTGCCCACCATTGGTATATCAAACAGTAGGAACAACAAACAAAGACCTACGGCCGATATTTATATAATAGGATATTTCTAAAACAAGAAGGAAATGAAAACGTTTAACACAACTTTATGAAACTTTCAACGAGCAATATTGATGAGTAAGAAAATTCCATTGTAGGCCTATATAAAATATATTAACTTACCACATCCGTTTTGGTGTTATACACCTTACGTTCCATTGACTCTGGTGCCATCCATTTGATGGGTAACTTGGCCTGTTTCTCCCCGCTGGTGTAGTAATCGGACTCGTCCAGATCTCTGGACAAGCCGAAATCCGCTATCTTTGCGACAAGCTTGTCATCGACCCTTAAATAAGGAGATATATTTGGCTTTATTCCGATCCTGCGTATCTAACTGAATATAGTGGAGGTTTGGCACATTTTGTGAGAAGTATGCCGGTCGATGTCAAAATCAATATACACGAGCAAACCGCTCTTTTCCTCACTGACAGTGAGGAAACGAGCGGTTTGTATAGAACTTTGAACAAGTCAAATTTAGTATTTTTCTCTCAAAACTCTGATCTTTTGGACTGATAATTTGGTAAGTGGTCAATGTAATATCACCCCTTTTTCTCCATTGAGACGTTTCTTCTTGGTGAAAAAAGGGGCAGAATGAAACAAACACAACAATTCAATCAAATATCCTATAGAGAGGTCCATGATATAACAAATGAAAGCTTATTTCATTCCCATGTAGTTAACTCAAAATGTCAGTTTTGCCACAACAGGCTCATTTTTGCAGAGCGGGTCACATCCACATGCAAGCCACAAGAGGTGTCATGACCATGTTATTATTTACACCGTTTGTATCACTCGTTAACTTATATTTAGGGGGGAAAGAAACGTTAAAGCTTGATGCCCGGAAAACTTCATGATCTTACAGGCAGTTTCTCGCAGCTAAATCCCTGTGGACGAACTGTTGTTCTTCGAGGTACTCCATACCCAGGGCCACGTGATAGGCAAACATGGTAAGCTGCGTGTGACTCAAGTTCTATAGAAAAACAGGGAAAGTGTGTACACTAATTATGCTAATACAATGTAAAAGTAAACGCCAAAACGCTAACATTGTTACCGTATGTATGCTACTTTTTCAAAATTGTGATTGGTTATTCTAATGTTCTTTGAGAACCGCCAAGAAATCTGGACTGTGTTAAATTGTGACTACCACAGCCTAAATTATATCTTTCGACTTAAGCTTTGGATCAGTTTAGCTTTAGAATCACGTCGTACGTGTACTTATTCTTTATCTGTACAAGTTTTAAATGAGTGCAGTTTTGCTCGTGGATGTTAAAAATCAAGGGGGGAACAGATCTACGTACCTGTTTTTGCTTCACTAAGAAAAATTTCAGGTCACCGTTCGCCATAAAGGGAAGCACAATGAGTGGCTGACCCGATCGATCAAAGGTCAAGCCAAGCAGCTTCAGTACGTTGGGATGATTGAAGCTCTTCATCAACAGTCCTTCCTTCAGGAATTGGACGATTCTGGAAGGATCCGCATCTGCGTTTGAATAAGCCATAATTTTTGAGCGAGTGTATAAATTACGTCATTATTTTTTATGAGTTCCAACACCAAGACAAATCCCGTTTAGTTAACTAAAAAATATCCGCATTCGCTCTTGAATAAGGTCTGTAATACAGAGCTCAAAGTCACACGGCAAGCTTCATGGATCCTCGTACGGCCCGCCTATACGTTCATTACATTGGGTTGCCCTTTCTCAATCTTTACTTTTTGGTAGAATGATTTAGATTTCTTACCGTAATCAACAAAAAACACTTATGTTGGGATTTTGTTTTGGGTATTCTTGAAGTAAACTTGAAAACAAAACTCACTTGGAGATAGATAAAAACATATTTCATTTACGACATTTCCACATCCGGCATTGTCGTTCCTAGGTCTCATTTCTCTTACGTTTGTTTTTATATCGTCTACGCGCATGAGAACGAACCTAACCTTGCGAACATTTAGCTACCTACTGCCGATGGATTCTATATTTATGAGGTTGGCTCGAGCAGTTCATGGATTTGATTTCTTTCTTAAATACTAATGATTCCTTTGAGTTTATTCACACAACTTGAAAACCTTAAAATAATTCTTGGTTTTCTATTTCACTTTCCGTTTTCATCTAATGACCAGCACAAATTTCAGAAATTCTGATCTACGTGAACTGATTCAGGGGTGTACATCCGTAAGTTGCACCATTTACCAGTCCGCATTATTTTAGATTTTCAGAAGTGAGAGGTATTTTTTTTGGTACGATATTTCTCTTTAAAGAGAAAGTTTTATTAGTTTCCATAAATTGATATGCTAGTAACAGTTTCACAAAGGCCTTTCGAGGTTATTTTCTTAAGAAGTCAATGAACCAAAATAATTGCAAATTCTACACCTTTTAAGCGTTAAGTTTCCCATTCAAGGGTCCAGATAGCGCGCCACCATGGGTGAACTTTCAGGCTCTATAGAAGATTCATTGCAGATACTTTCACTAAATGGTTGATCAAAACAGGTCATCCGAAAGTATGTATGGAGCACTTTTAGTATGGTTGCATCAGAAAAAGTAGTAAATAAGCTTTCCACCAAAACCTTCTGAATAAATCATGGATTAGGCGTCCAAAACGTCGTTGAAGCCTGGGCTGACACCAGACTTTTCGCTCGGATCCGGCAAATTGGTTGGAAAAAATGAACTGACAGTTCAAAATAATGCATGAGCCTATTAAGTTGGACAAGAAATTGGCACACACCTTCAACCGTCTTAACGGCCACAATGCTTCGTTCTCCGGCTGACCAATTATTGAAGACGGCTCGATAAACTGTCCCAAAAGCACCTGAAAACGTGAGCAACAGTGACAGTTGGGGTAACTTTCCATGCATGATCAAAACACGGAAATGATAAACACAATCAGAATTATTTAATTATTTAATAATATTGCCACGGGTAGATCCAATTCAAGAGTTGGCACACCCAATATTGTGTCAGAAGTAGCTGAATAACTGCATCAGTGAAAAGTGGGAAGGAGGGGGGGGGGGCTGACTTCATTTGACAATAGGTTTTTTTCTCTCCTCGTTGTCCTTTTCTTTTTAGTGTCCATAAAGGGAAAGGGGATCAGAAGACTACAACATCGATTTATACACATTACTTTTCTTCAATCCTCTGGTTTAACGGTGTTTAAACATCTTCTTTTGGGGGGGGGAGGGGCTTGGGGCACGCCCCTGTTGGCCTCTCAGCATATATACGCCAGTGTTCCTAATATGTTTACCCTGCCCAAGTTCATCCTCCATTTGTAACTGGCTGAACTTGATCTGTACATCATCGGCGGCGATGCTGATTCCATCGTCAAGGACGATGGTCTGAGGTTCCGGATGTGGTTGCTGGACGTTGGCGGCGCTTGTCCCCAGAGTTGGGCCAGTCGGCTCTAGTTGTTGCCCATTCGACGCTTTATTCACTGTAATATATGATCATCGTTCAGACAATGAGTTTTCAATTTTTTTTTTTTTAACAAACAAGAAACCTACACTGTTTTCAATTTGGTGCGTCTGCAACCCTCTGCCAAGTGTACTTAATTTCGTGCACAATGAACCCACCCTGCCAGAGCCGAATTATTGTCTCGCATGGCAGCCAATAATTCAACTTTTATGAAAAAATAATTAAGAACTAAAAGTCGTAGGATTTTATCCCTCGATAACTCATTCAATAGTGAATAACTTTGATACTGCTAGAAAAAGAGCAATTCAAAATAAACGAATCTATTTTTATTGCAGTCACTATGGAGGGCGCTGTTTGGTTTGGGCAAACTCTTAACCCATTATTTACCCCAAACCTAATAGCGCCTTCGCATTCGCGTTGTAAATGGTTATTTTCGGTAACTTTATAGATGGAGCAAACACTGCATAAAGAGACAAGGAAAAGCTTTGAATTAAATTTCCTCGTTCAAATGAAATAAGATCGATTGGTTTTCCTTCTGTGATAAGATTCCGGTTTCATTTCTGAAAAATAAATATCCACAAAACAAAATGTCACGCAAAGTGGCCTGTGTCAGGATGTCACTGTTTATTTATTTCGTCATACGTTTTTATTATTTCAAAATGACTTCCTTGTCAGATTGTATAGGCCTCACTTGTACAACGAAAAACCTCAGTTTTGATTGGTAGGTCAAGGGCGCCAATAATAAGTTTATTTAATTTGAGCTGGTAAAGCTCAGCTACGAAATAGCTGATCACACTAAAAACCGATGTATTTTTGTTTTAATTTCAAGTGCAACTCTTGGTTATTGACTTGTTATTTTGTCCTTTCTTTCCTTTGTAAATACGAAAAGTGGGGAGTCAGTCAGTCAGTCGGGGAGTCGGAGAGTCAGTCAGTCGGGGAGTCGGAGAGTCAGTCAGTCGGGGAGTCGGGGAGTCGGGGAGTCGGGGAGTCAGCCAGTCGGGGAGTCGGGGAGTCAGTCAGTCGGGGAGTCGGGGAGTCAGTCAGCCAGCCGGGGAGTCGGGGAGTAGTCAGTCGGGGAGTTGGGGAGTCAGTCAGCCAGCCGGGAGTCGGGGAGTCAGTCAGTCGGGGAGTTGGGGAGTCAGTCAGCCAGCCGGGGAGTCGGGGAGTCAGTCAGTCGGGGAGTTGGGGGGGGGGGGAGTCAGCCAGCCGGGGAGTCAGTCAGCCAATCAGTCGGGAAGTCAGTCAGTAAGTCAGTCAGTGACTCTAAAGGACCAGCAAAAGACATCACCTCTGTGCATTGCTCTGATGCGAATTAACAGCATAATCTCGTAGTAACTCTTCAGCACAAGATTGACTCTGTAATATTTGGCCAGGAGAACAGCTACGACTGCCACAAAGAGAAGCCCTTGGAGCGCAATGATGCAGACAAGGACCCCCGCTGTAGCTTGGTCCATCTTGAAAGCTAATTCGATTCCTTGGCGAATCTGTGATCTGCAATCCAGTAAATTTCGCTGCAGTAGTGTATTTGGCGTACAACTTGGGAGGGGAGTAGGACGGTCTTCTTGTCCGCAGGGGTACGTATAACAGGTTTTCACCCATGGGCGTCGCCAGGATTTTTTTTCCTAGGGGGAAGCATAGTTTTCCCCAAAAATCCTTGTACTTTCACTAGCATATTCTCAATTTATCATTTTATCTAGGGTGGGCGGGGGACATTTGCCCACCCCACCCCCATTGACACCCCTGCAGACGCCCGTTTTGTGAAATGTGTATTAAATTAACAGCAAATATGACTCCACATTTCTTTCTTTTTTTCCTTTGCTTTTCGGGGGGGGGGGGGGGGTAAGCGACCCCCTCCCTCCCTCGCGACACGCATGTTTTCATCCTCTAAAAAATCTTTGTTTTATTTTCCTCAAATGAGCGGGGGAAACAAGAGAGCACAAGTCTCAAGGGGCGACCCCTCCCCCTCCAGTCAAGACACTGTTTTGCTCACCCTGCAACGTACAGTAAACTCGCTTGAGGCTGATCAGGGAGTAGAATGCGCAAGAGAGGGAGAAAGACACTTGAAGGCATATTATGTGCACGAATGTTCCTCTGGATTATTGTATTCATAACAATACTTCAAAGGAATGTGTCCGTCCTTCTTAAAAGCCCTCCAGCAATGTATCAATGTTTTAAAATGTCAAATTTTCATAAAGCTTTGGTTTCAAACGATCGCTCAAGAAAAAGTAGTAAAATCTCTTCCTTCCATCACAATGATCCGTGGCTTCGTTAGCACGCTACATTTTTTTTATAACGATGAACTTTTAGTATTATTTCCGAATATTTAAAATAAAATAACGTACCCTTTATATAAACACAATCAACTTACTAGGATTCTGAGTCCAATCGACAGCTCGCCGTTCTCGTTCTGAGTCGTATCTCCGAGAAAAGCAGATTGAATTTAGAGAACTCCAAGGAAGATCGTGATCGATGGTGAAGTGCCGCGTGAATGCAGCTATATCACGCGCGAGAGCAAACGAAATGAAATAATAATTCCTGAATGTTCCTGGTTGGTGGCCTCAGTACATAAATTATATGTATCGACGTAATCTGGTTCGCATGATTAGAATAACAGACATATCCGATGATCAGCTTTTTCATTGTCATGCACTTGTTAGCCTGATCTCCGTGTGTGGGTTTGAATATCGGAAACGACTGTTTTTTCCTTGCTGCCTTGACTGAATGCTGTCCTGTCAAGGGGCGGATCCAGGACAAAATGGGGGGGGGTTTCATCAGCGAAAAAAATCTGAAATGTACACAGGGTTTTTTTCTCCGGACACTTGGCCTCCACAAATCAATAAGGGGGGGGGGGGGCTTGTTCCATACTTTCAATGGATGCGCTGTTCAAATCCGACGATTATTTACACTATACTACAGAATATAGTGTACATATATATACCCCATAACCAAGCTGGCTCTGTCCGCATTTTGTGCACAGGCGGACGTTATTACCAGTAGGAGCAGGGGGGGGGGGGGGGTCGCATCATTTTTAATAAATTTATATGAAAAAAAACAATTGTTGACAGAGCTGGGGGGTTTTACCCCCAACCCGATCCTGTGCCTGTCTGTAAACAACAGCTTTTTACGTATATGCACATCTTGTTATTGAATGTTGAAATTCAAATCGTTTTACTTTTATCATCCTGTCGTCATATCGACGCTAATCGTTCTTTTCAGTGCTTGTTCAGGACTTCACAATCGTTGAACTAACAGTGCCATCTGAGACCAACTTTGAAAAAAGCCATTCCTATAAGTGCCGTTAATACACCAATCTTGTCCGTGACATTTATAACTCAAATGGGCTTCAACTGCACATGCATAGCTATTGAAGTAGGAAGTCGAGGTTCAGTTACCCCAACCAAACAAGAAATCAACAAATCTATCACTCGCCTCTCCAAAATAGCTCTGGTGTCTTTTTTTGTAATATTCTACTCCAAATAATTATACAACAGTCTGGATCGACAGAGTGGATGAATGATCCCTCTAGTCTTTCTTCTGAACTTCATGACCAGTTCCAGTTCCCTTGATCAATTTTTCGTTCATTAAATTGTGTATCTTTAATCGATTCGTGTTTTTTTCCTCTTAAATAATGGGTTTCCAGTTCTATTGCCTTGCCTTACCGTCTTCTCACTTTGCTATTCAATTAATCCTGTGATTGTGACATTTATGACCTAGGCTTTCGGTACACATGCATGTCTTGTTTTGTTAATAAAGACACGAATTATAGTACTAACTGAAACACTTGGTTAAATAATATGTCACGCGATGCTAAGTATAATTTCTTTTCAATTGAGTTGCTGGCAGTGTTGTCTTCTGGGAGTAGTCTTCAATCGTTCCTTGATATTCTTATCTTCCTATGACGTTATTTAATAATTGTTTCTTGTTCTAAATTTTACCTTTTCTTTGTGACTGTTTTCGTAACTATATCATTTTACTTTTATAACGTAAATAAAGCTTGGGGATTATTCCCTCATAATATAGGACGTTCGTTTTAAGAGTTTCTGAACCGGGGCCTAATATCTAAACGTTATCTTTGTATTGCTGGAATGCAGCTTCACTCAGGCATAACCATGCCATGAACCAGGAAGTAGGAGAAAGTAAATACAGACAGTGTAGAATTGTATGATTTGACGGCTAGCATTTTCAATGTCACTTCTATAAGTATGCATCATGTATATACATCATGAGGACCGTGAAGGAATTAATGTTACTTACATGACCCAAATTGGAAAGTATTTTCTTCTATAGCTTGCCCAGTGACAGCCTGGATGAGTTGATGCTTGTATCTGGAGCCTGCTACACATCCACAGTAAGTTTAACCCTTTTGAAAAACAAGTACATACGTGTAACTCTCCGAGTTTAGGCGCATGCGACGTCGACGGTTTGTTGCCGTGTACCGGACAAAACTGCACGGCCCATTTGGAGGCCCTACTACATGCATTCACAATTGTTTTTCTCCTTTGTGGCGTAACACCAGTTTGAAATAATACAGGGGCGGATCCAGGAATTGTTGCAGGTGGGTTTGATCAGCAAATCAATGCTGAAATGTAGACGGGGGGGGGGGGGGGGGGGGGGGGGCTCGTACCATACTTTCAATGGACCGCTGTTCAAATCCGACGATTATTAACACTATAATACAGAATATATAGTGTAGAAATACCCCTGTAACCCAGCTGGCTTTGTCCGATTTTCGTGCACAGACGGATATTATTACCACAATAATTTTGATGGTGTCGGAGCCGGGGGGGGGGGGGGGTGTAACATTATTTGTATTTCTATGAACAAAAAAATTGAGTCAGAGCAGTGGGGGTTCGAGACCCCCCCCCCCACCACACCCACCCCCCCCACCCCTCTTTATCCGCGCCTGCTATAGTAGGTAATAAGGTGGTCAGACGAATGCTTAACAGCTATCTTTCAAACAGCTTATTAATCTCTAAATGTAAAATAGTGAAAAACCATTACATTTAGAGACTAGGTTTTTAGTTTTACGCTGCATTGGTTATTTTTTAACTTAAAGTGGCTTTTTAAATTTTGCTGGTCCCAGAGAGCCAGCTAAATGTCCTCCTTGTGCCCATCTTACGGACTGATTCTCTGAATGTCACTTATGAATTAGACTGGTTGTGGACTGGTGGAGAGGCTGGGCAGTGCTATCATATAGGATTACCCGGGGCTAAATCTGGTAAATTGTGTAGGCCACATGCATGCATGAAAACACTTTGTGCGCAAGAATTGTGCGCTCAGTGACCAGCTTTATACTTGTGTTGGAATTAACTTGAAGTAGCTTTTCACTTTTGTGATCATTGTCACATTGTACTTCAGAATTTTGCTGGTAGCCTCGAGCAAGCAGTCATCGCTGTGAAGATGGAAACGGATTGGCTTTTCGTTCTCGCTGTTTATGTCGTCCCACCAGCAGCAGCATGCTTACTCTTCCTATTGCTCTTCCTAGTGGTCAAGTATTACAGACAGACACTCAGGATGAAGAGCAACAACGAGGTTCTTCTTTTAACGCAGATCAGAGCTCTCTACAAAGGTTTGTCTTGTATTTCCTTTTGCATGCTTTACACCATTATTTGAACCGTCGAAGTTCTATTGTATATATTCCAATCTGTTTCTTGCAGGAATCTATAATGACGCTTAAAAATCGAATTGTTCAAGTTCTCGATAAAAAGTCATAAAACAAGTGAGAGATTTGTGTCTAACTCAGTAATTGTGGCAAAGCTTTTGCAAAGAATATTCCTCAATCTTAAAACATCCTAGTAAGTTTTAACCAGCAAGTGACATTTTCAGCTGTAAAGTCGTTTTCATTTGTTTAGGTTAGATATCTTATAAACGACCACGCATCCTGCGTCCCAAAAAAACTACAGTTTCGACAAATATATTATTATTCTCAAACCACACCCCAAAAAACATATTTTCTCTTTTAGAATAAGAGTATGTTAAAAATACCAAGATTCGAGAGAGAACTAAATATACAAAAATCTTTATTCCTTCCTTGGCTAAACAACATGAACCTCTAGCACATCAATACATGCGGAGACTAGGCAATGGTTGCTTATATACAAATACAACATCGTTTGTGGGGGAAATAGTCAAAACTAATGACCCCAAGGTACGGTGTTGAATGATTGAGACTATCTCCCGAGGCGCCCAATCATCCAACACTACCGGGAGGCTAGTTTTACTACACCACTCCAAGCAGTCAATATTTGTGAATTATGTTTCACCACGCCATGTAAGGTGTATGGTTTACAACAATGTAATATCCATTCGGTTACATTTTACAAGTCTTCCTCCGAGTTTCGAAAAATGGACAAGTGTTTGTGCCCAAAATCAAATCATGAAAAACAGGTGTGTTCAATCCAAGGCACCATTTATAACATGATTCCAAACGTTTTCTGTCAGTGCAGATATATTTCAGTAACAAGTGATATGTCCCTTGGTACATCCTTCGATTGCATGGACAATTATAATAATGGACAACAATATTAATATATATTTTTTTTATAATCATCAATCAAAATGTATTTATAGACACGAACTACATCATGTGGTAAGACAGTACGGTGCAGATATAATATTAGCAGTAACTGATACACCCTTCGACTGCATGCAAGTGTAAACAATTAGGCCTATACTCATCATAATGTATATTTCAGACACGAACTACAGTACATGTTCACTGTTTGTCTATTTAGGAAGATCCAAATTAGCTATAGATCCATTTCGTATATTTTGTGCTATTTTGACGCCAGTACAAATATTGACTGCTTTGAGTGATGTAGTAAAACAAGCCTCCCGAGGTGATCCATGCATTGGCGACAACCCCCCCATGAAACCTTGTCGCCCCCCCCCAGTCGCCCCCCCCCCCTCCCACTGAGATTTTGAGTTTCTAAAAAAATATCATTGATCTACATGACCCCCCTCCCATGAGATGTCCCAGCACCCCCCCCCCCCCCCCCCCCCATAGCAACCACGACCAGCCGCGACTCCATGGGCGCGAGCGAGTTCCCAGATCGCGCAAGGCATGATGGGAAATAACATGGCGCAGAAAGATCTTCGCTCGTACCCCCGCCTTGCAAACAGGACGCTGGGAAGGGCTGACGAATTAACGCCCTGATTGGATAGATTTTGCGTGACATGTGACCGGCAAGGCGTCACGGCCACGACCCTGCAAGGTTTGAAACGGCCGTTAAGACTGAGTCATTCGTCATTCTTTTATTCTCATTCATAAATGCGGCGCCCCTTTTTTTGTTGAAAAGGATAATAGTGTAGGAAAATCTGTAAAACTTATCTGTTTTGTAAATTTTCAACCCCCGTTAGTTGCTCAGGCTCCGTTTCGAATTCACGAAGGGTCGAAATGCATATCATTCCACGCTCAAAATGTGTCCACATGGTCCGCAATGAAAAAGAAATCACATCCGTTATGGTGTGTGTACATTGCTATGGAAAACTTTCCGGTGTCACGGTCTCACTTCTCCGGCATGCTAGCTTCTCCGCAGAGGGAAATTTCGTCTCAACACGCATGCGCAAATTGCGCAGTAGTGTACATTTCGCCAACTTTATTTGTGTGCTGAATTCTTTTGGGTTGTACTGGTGAACGTGATATTTGAGTGTACAAATGTATACATTACAAGGTACCAGTCGAATCCAGAATTTTCGTGGCGCACGCAACTCCCAATACATGTAAAAACGTGAAGGATACACATTTATTTTAAACCATTGGTTGCAAAAATAAAGACAACCACGAGCGAGCAAGGAACACACCTTGCACAGACCAAGGAGTTCGTTCTTAATTATTCCTCCATGAACACACACACAAACGACGCTGGGAACACAAATCAGAGTAATTGCGCAAGACCATGGAATGACAGGGAATGACCATACTCCTCTCAAGCTTGACCCACAGGAAGTGTTACATAACACATTCTTGGGTGTCTCTCACTGTGTTATGGACTTGGTAGACTCCATAACACAGCCCGAGGAAAAGTAAGCACAGCGGACACATGAGCATGTATCGTGCTTATGTAACGTGCACTGTAACGTGCTCAATTATCCGCCGCATTCACCCGGAGAATCCAGCACGCCGGAGAAGTGAGACCGTGACACTGGATAGTATTTGCGCGCATTGGCTAACCGCGGTCTACAGCTGCAGCCAGATGCTTTATACATAGGTCATGATAAATTACCCAGAATGTCATCCCCACTTCGAGGGATTCTGTGAAGCTCATCTGCCCTTCCAGCGCCCTGTTTGCAGGGCGGGGGGTACGAGCGAAAGCAAGATCTCGTACCAATGGGAACGAGGTTGCCATTGGGAACGAGGTTGAGCCACGACCGCCTTTATGCATCTCGTGGAGCTAATCATTTATTCATTATTTTCAAGTAATATGAATCATGCATGTATATATATGCGGATATTATGAACCATGAATTCACGCTCTGATTGGTTGGATTTTGCGTGACCTGCGCGTCACACGGTCATGACTCTGCAAGGTTTGAAACGGCCGTTAAGACTGATTCATTCCTCTTTTATTCCAGTTTAGAGATTTTTTTTTTTGAAAAGCGTAATAATGTAGGAAATTCTGTAAAACTTATCTGTGTTGTGAATTGAGAATTCCCGTCATTTGCTTTGGCTCCGTTTCGAATCACGAACGGTCGGATTGCATTATGCGACGCTGAAAGTTTCCTCCACATGGTCCGCATTGAAACAGAAATCACATCCCATCACATCTATGGGAAGTTTTCGGATAGCATTTGCGCACATTGTCTAACTGCGCTCTTAAACAGCTGTAGCCAGATTCTTCTTCTTCTTCTTCTTCCTTCTTAGTGCTGCCTTCATGTGGTTGAAGATGAACGCACTGCGTTATACATAGGTCATATAATTATAGGCCACTTCCTTGAAAAGATTCTGTGAAGCTCATCAGAGTATGGCCAGCGTCCTGTTTGCAGGGCGGGGGTACAAGCGAACCGGGGCGCTATACGTCTGGGTATAGCTACGCAGGACTTGACTAAAGGCTAGTCCCATACGCACACGGTGTCTCGTCTGTACGTTGAGTTGCAAGTCAGGTTCTTGGACTTTATTTTCCCTTGAAAAAAATCCTCCAAAACCACATATTGGTAAAAGAAAAATGTTCCAAATGACTATAAACAGACCTTTTTAAGAGAAAAAAAAGAAGTAAAGAAGAAGAAATTAAAATAGCATCCTCTGGGAATCGAACTTACACCATCGGATTTGTAATCCAATGTGGTATCCATGACAGTGACTCGATCGATGAGGTAGTAGCATAATTCTATATAGTAGCACGCG